CCCCAAAACCCCAAAACCCCAAAACCCCTCATTAATTTTATCGATTGAAAATGTCCTCCTGGAATAGATATCTAAAATCACTGCTTTCATAAGGTTCATGAGAGATAAAGTAGATTCGGAAATCCTTAGTTTGTCTCAAAGACTGTTCATCATATTTTATGGAGTGTCCTTTATTTTTGAACTTTCGAAGATAATCTTGATGAGATATTTATCAGTAAATTTCTGAAATATCAATCAAAAGTACAAGCAGAATTGTTTTTGTTCAAGGTAAGCAAGCTCTAGTTGCAGATATTAAAAATAATTCAACCAGCTTTCCCCTTTTGCCAATTTTATAAGGTTTAGAGGCGTCTGAATTTGTTTTATTGATAAAGAGCTGTAGTATCCATTGAATTACTCCAACCAAAAAAACTATTATTCAAATTTTGGCCCAAGAGTTGACAGTGCTCTAGCAAGAAACCCAGATTCTTAAGTTATATAAATAATTTAAGTAAAACTTATCTCTCTAGTTTTATGTCTAATAAAGGACCCTCAGCATTTCTTCAAAGTAAGAAGAGAAAATCCGCCCAAATATCTCCTCTCAAGGTTCTTTCGCATTCTAAAAGTAAAGAATTTGTCAGAAACCCTTTTCTCAATCACCTAGTTCCGTTATTACTTGTCGGGTTTAGTAAATTTCACAATTTTTCTAAAGTTCTGAAAACATGTATGCTTCGAATAAAATTCTTCAAAATGTTGAAGATGGTGGCCTTCGCTCTAAAATTTGAGGATCTCACATCACAAAGCAGCTGAATAATATCTAACAGATAGGACAGGAGACACTAGAAACCAGCTTTAGAAGGCTAAGGCTGGACAAGTCTCAGCTCCTCCTAAACAAGGCTGTTGAGATTTCAACTTAGTGAATGACTTTTTGATTAAATAAGTCTTAAATTTTCTGGAATCTGACTCTTATTTTGAGTCTGAAGATGCTCTATCCATAGAAGTGGATGGTAAAACATAAAGGTAAATAGTTTCAGAGCCCTACAGATGAAGAAAAATCTTTTCCTTACCTCTAAGAGGGTTATTTCAAAGGTTGATAGCATGAGAAAATCTTTCTTTATGATAGAACTTTTACTGGAAATTTTGAGGGACATATCTCATATTTGCACCAGCACTTTATTTATCTTTGCTTTAAAAACTTTTGGCTGCAAATTAATAACAAAGATAAGGAGAAGTTATTGAACTTAGGAAAATTTTTATACAGATTATCCTCCATCCAATGTATTTCTATAAATAATTTTTCATCCATTTTCAGATAGGAAACTTCAAGATTTTAGAATTTCTACAGTCTCTGCAAACTTGCTAAATCTCTGTTTGAGCTTATAGCCTCTAAGCAAGGGTTTAGCAATAAGTCTTGCTGCTTTAGAGTAGGAATTATAAAAATATCAACTATAAGTAAACTCTTTTAAACCCATCTGCTTCTTTCACCTAAATTTGAGATCAAATCATTATTTTCGGTGAATCAAAAATGGCAAAATGATTTCATTCTCAAGGATTTGCACTCGAAAGATGCAACAGGCTCAGGTTTTAGAGCTCCTATACTTTCAAGTAAGGAATATTAGTAGCCAATAATTTGTTGAGGGCCTTGTGAAAGCAGATAGACATGTCAGATTTAAGTACTCACAACAAATTTGTCTCAGCAAGTGCATCAGGGAAGAATAAAGATGAATTATTGAATTTTCTTGATGTGTGATTTCATAAGATATCAGTGATAAAATTTATTTTAATTCAGTTTAAGAGTTATCTTCTTCTAATTTCAAGACCTTCTACTGTCTTCCAACATTAATTTCTACTCCTCCATCAACCAAACTATTGAAATGACCATATCCACAAAAATCTGCATCTTCATTACTGAGATAAATCGAAATTTTTATCAATTTCTAGAATTTTAGTTTCGATTTCAAATATCTTCTTTCAAAGAGAGTGGAAATTATAGGAAATCAACTGAGATCAAGACGAATCTCTCTTGAGCCCTCTAAAATTACAGGAGAGTTGGATAATAACCAATATTTACCATTTTCCGCCTAAAATCTATGAGTTTTAAATGAGAAACATTTAGAAGCTAATATCTTTAACCTTGTTTTCATCTTTTAGGAATTGAATGAAAATTAAGAGGCTAAAATCTAGGGTTTCTCTTGTTTAACCAACCTATTTCAGTTAAGCCTGATTCTTGGAAGAGTCTGGGATGGTTCTCTAGGTCTCTAGGTTCTCATAAAAAGGAATAAAACGCCCTTCGATTACCTTTATCTAGCCTCTGTGTCTTCCATAACCCCACTTCATGGCTTCATCAGATTATGTCTTTTGATTGAGTCTCTCTGATAGTTTCTGGATTATACTTCCTCCTTCCTCTTCTAAATTCATCAAAAAATCCCCAAAACAGAGAACTAGAGACTCAGGATGAACAAGTAGAAGCTGACTGGGATTATAGTGCCATTAGGCAAGTTGGCCAGTGGGCTTCGGCCTTGGGTTCAGAAATTTGAATAATTTGGTGAAAACTTATCCATTCTTCACCAGATTAGCCAAGGTCCTCGGGATTTTGGGGAGACTGGGAGGGTTATAAGGCTCTCATTTGGGAGGGTAACTAGGGAAGATCTCCTGAAAGATTACTGATGCTTGATAATTTTTTGATAATTTTTATTGAGTTTGGCAGATTTTCAGCACAATTCTATTAGAAATAGTGTCATTGTGCAGATAATTTTAGTTAAAATAATAGATTAATTGCAGACTCAGGCATGCAATGATTCCCAGCTTTTAATAGAAAGAGAGTAAGTATTAGAGATGAGTATGCTGACAATATCGAGATAACACTCATCTCTTTTTGAAGTTCTTTCTAGAAAATAAATTATACTTCGAAATTGTCTAAACTTAACATGAAAATCCGGTTGTCCCTATTTGAGTTTGTAACGATTTCTTCACCAAAAGCAATGAGCCAAATCTATAAATCGCACGAGCTTTAATATTTTTAGGGTTAACTCATAATACTATACCAGAGTTGTCGACGCTCGAGTAGGCTTAGATTTTAAGCTCAAAAGTTATATGAAAAATTTCTGAAAATAGTTTTCAAAATACTCTTTTTCACATTCAAGCTGGATGAAAAATCCCATTTTAAGACATATTTTCTTAAAATTTAAAGAGGTTCTCCTGAAATCTGCCTCACCTAATGTCTTCTAAAATATGTTTTTAAGTAATCAGATTTCTAAAATTTATTCCTGAAATGAGGCTCTAAGTTTAGGCTGAAAGCTAGGTCCTCAGAGTATACCAAAAATAGCAAATTTCTTGAAGAAAAATATGTCAGAACTTAATAAAGCTTCATGCTTTATTATAAATACAGTTTAGCTTTTTATTATGAGTTATCACCAAATCAACCGAACTTATAACCCTTAAGCAGACATATTAATGGCGACCTAGTAGGTTAAGAGAATAAACAAAAAGTTAAAATTTGATAAGAAAGGCTGATTAAGTCTGAAAATAACTCATAAGCCTTAAAAATACACTAAATTTTAACTAATTTCTTTTAAACCTGAGAAGTTACTGATTACTATTGCAGGAAATATTCAAACTAGTTGACATTATATACTGCTAAATAAGATAATAGACCTACATTTCACCAGGATCATCATAGAAACCAGCACTGAATTTTGAGAAAATCATGAAATGGTATTTTTGCTCAAGTAAGACTCTATCTCATTAAAAATTCCTCTCTAGTTAGCTTAGAAATACTATTAAACTAAAGTTTGCATGGAGTATATTATTAAGAATTTTCTCAAATAAATGCTATAAACTTCCCAAACCGTTGAACTCCCCTGTCTTAAGGACTTCGTCCCAACGAAGAGGGCAGCCATAGCCATATCCCCTATTTCTACCTGGAATGTTTCTCATAAATATGAATGTGTTGAAGAACAAATCGAACAATTTATAGTAAGTATAACCAGCCCTTCCTAAATTTTGAGAAAGATGAAACTGAGGAACAATTTTTATTGAGTACTACTTATGGCCTTTGCTAGCAAACTTGCTGCAAAGAGGAGGGGATAAATGAGAGTTGGGGTACAGGGAGTCGTAGTCCTTGCATTTCTTCTCAAGCATGCTCATGGCAATCTTCAAGTTGGAATCGGATATCTGAGGACCTGCTTCGAAGATGTAGTGGTAAACTAGGCTTCTGAAGTACTTGTTTTGCAAACATTTGTGCAGTTTGGACATATTGTATCTGTATAGGAGTTCTCTGAACATATTCTTAGGCTCTTCAAGCCTTGGCTTCTCAGAGAGCAAGTAAAGCTTGAGTGTGGAAAGAAATTCTTCATTAGGCTCCATTCCAAGTTCCTTCTCGATGTACTCCTTAAGAAATGTCCAGCATTCAGATTGAGTTTGTCTTCTTTTCGTTGTAAATTTAGTATGCATCTTTAATTTTTCCCAATGAAATCTTCTAATGTTTCTTAGAAGGGTTTTGAAGACGGTGTCTTTCCTGCAAGTGAACTCAGTAAATTTAGGCTTTCTGCCAGGCTTTTTAGGATGCTTGTTCCATGATGACTTAGGTGGCTCCAATGAATCAATACTTTGCTGATTGGCATTATGCTGAGAACTTTGTTTCCTCGTTAAGTCTTCTTTTGTCATTGCCAACAACGATAAGATATCAGGAAATAAATTTTCTTGAGCATGCTCAAAGGCTGAAAATTTATTTGATTGAAAGGCACTCCCAGAAAATTGTTCTTCGGCACATTTCTGACTCAGATCACCAAATGGTGTGATATAATTATTCATAATATTTTAGTTATTGTAATGTTATCAATAATTGTAGTTTTTAGTTCAATCTTTTATAGGTGAGTGGGGTTTTGGGGTTTTGGGGTTTTGGGG